AAACACCTGACGTCGATACGAGTGTGATGACCCTGCGGGATGTTCCTCCTGGGTTTCGGTCGTGGTCACCCTCTCCTGGGCGTTATTCTTCATCCTCTTGACGGAGAACCACTGACATGCCAAGAGAGAGATCTCCTAATCCATGCCAGGGAAACTAAAAGCAGCGACCTCAAGGGGGAAGGTAGCGAATCATCGAAGTGCTGAAAGTCCCCCAATATTGCCGAGTGAAGAGACACACATTTTCAATGATTCGATAAGAGATGGGGCTGTTACTGCCGAAGTTGCAATTACGATTGACGGACATGACGCCATGGCATTGGTCGACACTGGCGCGGACTTCTCAATAATGAGTGAGAGTCTGGCAGACAAGCTCAGGAAGGTTAGAATGGAATGGACAGGACCGCAAATTAGAGGAGCTGGAGGGCAGCTACTCACACCTACCTGAAAGTGCACCGCAAGAATGAAGATAGGGGATGCATCCTTCGTCGCAACTTTCCTTATTTTTTCCGAGTGTTGCAAACAGGCAATCCTAGGAATGGATTTCTTGCGTGAATATGGTTCCATCATCAATATACCGGACGGTCTACTAGCCTTTTCAGCGGATCAAAGCGCAGCGCTACACAGAAAATCCCTACGAGTATTGACAATGTGACCGTACCTCCGTTATCGTGCTGCCTTTTTTCCGTCACGTGCAGCGCGTAGCATACTGGAGAAGGAATCGCTGAACAAGTATTGACGCTTCTACTCTCTCGCGGTGTTGCTATTGTGCAGCATACTGGAGAAGGAATCGCTGAACAAGTATTGACGCTTCTACTCTATCGCGGTATTGCAATTGCCAGAAGTATCGTCAATGTTGTGTGCAGTGAAGCGAAGGTTCTGTTGACGATTTTTTTTTTTTTTTGCCCCACTGCGGTGGTCTAGTGGCTAAGGTACTCGGCTGCTGAACCTCAGATCGCGGGTTCGAATCCTGGCTGCGGCGGCTGCATTTCCGATGGAGGCGGAAATGTTGTAGGCCCGTGTGCTCAGATTTGGGTGCACGTTAAAGAACCCCAGGTGGTCGAAATTTCCGGAGCCCTGCACTACGGCGTCTCTCATAGTCATATGGTGGTTTTGGGACGTTAAACCCCACATATCAATCAATCATGTTGACGAATTTCACCAACGAGCAACGACACATCACGCAAGGCACTACAGTTGCCTACTTCGACGAGATAACCGAAATCCGCGAGTGCTGTGTTGTACAACAGGAGGAGCCACAAGCCACGTCAGCCTCACCACCTATTGACGCTAGCACGGATTTATCACCAGCACAGAGACGGCGTCAAGCCAGTTCAAAGACTGTTTTTCATCGACCTCGAGGGCCAGTCAAGCGCCGCTGACAAAGCACCAGATAATAACGGAGGAGACGGCAAGGCCAATATGACAGAACCCATACCGCGTAGCACCAAAAGAGTGGGAAGCAATCCAGGAACAAGTGAAGAAAATGCTCGATAATGACGTCATCTAGCCGTCAAAAAGCCCTTGGGCATGGCCGGTAGTGCTGGTTAAAAAAAAAGACGGAAGCTTGCGTTTTTGTGTCGACTACTGCAAGCTGAACCATGTGGCAAAGAAAGACGTGTACCCATTACCGTGCTACAGGTATGCACGCTACTTCTCGTCGATGGACCTCAAAAGTGGGTATTGGCAAATTGAGGTCGACGAGTGAGATAGAGAAAAAATGGCTTCTGTAATGCCTGACAGGCTTTATGAATTTAAAGTCTTGCCCTTGGTATTGTGCTCAGCCCCTGCAACATTTCAGAGACTAATGAATACCATTCTGTTAGGGCTTAAGTGGCAGACATGTCTGGTCTATCTGGACGACGTCATTGTTTTTTGAAAAACATTTGAGGAACACCTGAGCAGGCTGCTATCGGTATTCAGGGCAGTAAGGTCTGCCGGCCTGACACTGCAACCCGAGAAGTGTCATTTCGGTTTCAAGGAGCTCCAATATTTAGGCCATGTGGTGAGCCATGAAGGTGTTCGACCTGATCTCGATATGATTGCGGTTGTCAAAAAATTTCCGGTGACAACAGATAAGAAAGCAGTCAGGCGTTTCCTTGGCATATGCGCATATTACCGAAGGTTTATTGCCAATTTCTCACATATAGCCTCGCCGTTAACACGACTCACAAGAGAAGACGTTTCGCTCACATGGGGCAACGATCAACAAGCGGCATTTGACGATCTCCAACAACGCCTGCAGACGACACCTGTGCTTGCTCAATTTGATGAGGATGCTCCTACCATGGTCCGCACAGATGCCAGCAACGTGGGTTTAGGCGCTGTACTCGTCCAGTGGCAAGACTCAGCCGAGCGTGTGATCGCATATGCTAGTAGGACGCTTTCCCGCGCCAAGTCTAACTACTCCACAACGAAAAAAGAGTGTCTTGCTGTCGTATGGGCGGTTATGAAGTTTCGTCCGTACCTCTATGGTCGTTCCTTCCACGTAGTCAGTGACCATCGTTCCCTCTGCTGGCTGACCAACTTGAAAGACCCGCCTGGTCGGCTTGCATGGTGGAGCTTACGCCTTCAATAGTCTATAGTATAAGTAGGACGGCAGCACGACGACGCTGATTGCTTATCAAGGTCACCGATAAAGCGCGACGATGACACAGATGACAACATGGCGTTTGTAGGAGTCGTCGACACCACTACGATTTCGTGCAAGCAGAAGGAAGACAGCGAGTTGCTTCCCCTTATTGAATTTTTGAATGGCCGGACAACAACCGTCCCTAGAAGATTTGCAAAGAGCCTGCTGTCATTCTGCTTATGTAGTGGTGCTCTCTATAAGAAGAACTTTTCTCCCAGAGAAAGCACCCACCTACTTGTCATTCCGACATCAATCCGTGAAGAGATACTTAGTGCTTGCCACAATGAGCCAACGTCCGGTCATCTTGGATACACACGCACATTGGCCAGAATCCAACAGAAATACTACTGGCCAAGACTTCCAGCTATTGTGAAACATTATGTGCGCACGTGCCTCGATAGCCAAAGATGACTATCGCCACCATTAAAACCAGCTGGACTATTACAACCAATTCAAGTGCCCACGGTACCTTTTGCCCAAATTGTAATGGATCTCCTCGGACCATATTCGACTTTCCATGCTGGCAACAAGTGGGTAATAGTTGCCACTGATTATCTTACGCGCTACACAGAAACAAAGGCTTTGTCAAGTGGCACCGCCGTTAAAACCGCACAATTCTTTGTAGAATATATCATCCTGAGGCACGGTGCTCGAACAATCATAATAACGGATCGAGGTACCGCTTTCACGGCCGCGCTCCTGAAGACAGTGCTTGAGCTCAGTGGAACAGCCCAACGGAAAACCACTTCCTATAATCCACAAACCAACGGCTTAACGGGACGCCTCATTAAGACTATTGCCGACATGTTGAGTATGTACGTTGACGTGGATCACAATAACTGGGACGACATTCAATCGTACATCACGTTTGCCTATAATGAAGTGCAGCAAGAAACTACATGCAGAACACCATTCAGTCTCCTTTATGGCCGTGAAGTGACGACGATGCTTGACGCCATGTTACTGCACGACTGCAACCACATGGATTTGGATGCTGCATCTTTTACCGAATGAGCAGAAGAAGCGAGGCAGCTTGCATGCGTCCGAATTCCCCAGCAGCAAAATTACGACGCCAGACGTTATAATCTGCGACACCGATATGTCGTCTATCGGCCCGGCGAAAAAGTCTGGGTATGGAGTCCTATCCGCCACCGGGGACTGTCTGAAAAATCTCTGAAGCGGTATTTTAGCCCCTACACAGCTTTACAACGCCTGAGTAACGTTAATTACGTGGTCGTTCCTGACAGCCCCTCGACAACTCGCCAGCAAAACCAGAAATCGTGCACGTTGCGCGAATGAAGCCCTATTTTTCCGACTGATTCGCACCATACATCTACTGCACCGTCTTTTGTAGAAGAGCATCGGGACGCTGCTCTCTGGAGCGAAGCGAATGCCGTATTTAATATGCAGCACCAAGAGAACAACGAAGAGCACGCGCAGCGAGAGGGAAAAACGAGGTTCTCATTGGATCAGTTTGCCAGTGTTCTGGTACAATTAAAGCGAGTTATCCTCTATTCAACTGCTGCTGTTTCTGCATTGTGACAATATGCTCTAAACATGAAGGTTCCAGGAAAGGTTATTGCAAATTGTGATGCCTAAAAATTTATAGTTAGCGACTTCCTTAAGTAGAGAGGAGCCCAGCATATAATTTATAATATAGGTATGTTTTCTTTCGGGAACTTGGTAAAAGAACACTTTTCTTGCATTCAAGGTCATTTCCCAATGAGGAATGACCTCTGATATAAGGCGACTTTCATTAAACATTTCTCTTTAATTAGAGATTATTTGAAGTTATTAACATTAATATGTAAACTGTGGGAACGCTAACACCCTCTGTAAGGTCGTTTGCACCTCATGGTGCACACGTGTTTCGTGCATAGACTGCAGTTAGGGTTCACAACTATCAAGCAGTAGGTGGCATGCTCGTGATCGTTTATCATCATTATCATCATCATGGCTAGCGCGGTAGTGCCAGCAGTGATGCCTGGTGGTGAAGCAAGATAGTTGGGCAAAAAAGATTGGCGAGTCTCTTCGGTGTGTGGCGGTTGGTGCGAACGATTACCCCACCGGCCTTTTTTCCGTGGGCCCCTCGTGGTGAGTCGGGCGTTGGCAACAACGCCTACGCGTTACCTTGTTTGTTGTCATGTTAATTGAGTGTATTGGAATATTGTGCTAGGTTTTTTAGCATGTTTATCACTAGTGTTGTATTTAATTTGGCTGATGATATCATCGTTGTAAAGTTAGTTAAATAAATGTAAATGTTTCGTTCATTTCGACTGCACCTGCTGTTTCCACTCGCTCCAAGATGGTGCCTCATTTTGAGGCCCCACACAACTTACCCCGCTATGGTTTCTTGATTTTCTTTGTGCAGCAACAGTTTCAGCAGCAGCAACAGCAAGATGGCTGTGATTCTGGCAACTTCTTCCAGCCACAGCAGTCGCAGCCACAGCAGTTCTGGCGAGGCAGCCCACACAAGCGTGGGGGCAGCAGTCACTGGTACCAAGGGGACGGTGGAGCACCCGGGCCGCAACAGCAGGAGGGACTGAAGCGGCCGTGGGGAGCCGACGAAGGGGGATCTGAGGGGCAGCCACCTAGCAAAAGAGGGGGAGGATGGGGTGCCAGGGGCGGATTCGGGCGCGGCTTTGGCCGAGGAGGCTTTCGCGGTCGAGGGGGTTTTCGAGGCGGCAGGGGTGGTCCGAGGGGAGGAGCAAGGGGTCACTGACTGTGCATCTCTTTTGGTGTGTCCCCACTCACGTCTTCAGTGCCGTCTTCTCAGTTATGGATGGTGCCGAAACAAAGAGAACTAAAGACTGGCATCACTTCTGTTGTAGCCGGGAAGAGAGGGTTGTTGTTAGGAGCATTTGCGAGGCCTTAGATGTTCTTAGGAAATGTTCCATCCCATCAGTTCATGTCTTCAGCATCACCATCTTCATGTGAACTGAACTGTAGAGCATGTGAAAACTCTTGTACAATACTACTTGTGCAAAGCATTGTGGGGGGAAGTCCTTGTTACGCTTGTTCTTGTATTCACATTGTCATGTTTTTACTAAACTTTGTGATAACAAAGTGAACTTGACTGGCATACTTTTGTGTCCCAATTAATCGTTTGATGCACATGTTTTTAGGACAAGGCTCATAAATGGAATCATTAAAAGAGAATGGTAGCGCCAAAGTGAAATTGAGGAGCCTTTGAACACAGAGAATAGTCTCTACTTCTAACAAAACTAAAATTTTTGAACTTGATTCTGGTTGGATCTTGAACAATTTCTCAATTGTGTACTGTCTGGTTTGTACGCCCGTCTGTAATAGCTCCTGTGTTCGAAAGCGTTAATGGCAAGCTTGTGTTGGGACATCCTCAGAACGACCCAATTTCAGTGATCTGCCAGCACATTTTCATAAGGCCGGCTTTGTCAAAGTTCTGGTAAAAAGTATATGCAGTGAGAAATTCTGCATTAATTATTGGGTGGCAATTAGAGTGATCTGTTCTGCATGCACCACATGTGCAAGAAATCAACAAGAGCTAGCTTATTCATATGACAAACTCGCTGTTGACTGTGTCCGCATCTATTAAGTTCATTGGGCGCCAGTATTGTCTGGTCATTCTGAAATGCTGTTTGATTATGTCAGGGGGAGAACTTGCAGGCTACTTCGTGTATTCTGTTGTTTGTAAGTTTGGTTTATTGATTTCGTATCACACCGCATTGCATAGAAAGTGTGCTGTGCATTGCGACTCTTTTGGAGCGTGTGAAGGATGTGGCATGTGCTGTGCGTTGCCACTCTTTTGGAGCGTGTAAAGGACGTGGCAACCCTTCCGTCCAAAAGGGGAAAAAAACCACTTGACTCATCAAGATAGACAGCATTTTTTCGAGCAGCATTCTCTATTGTTGCTTTCCTCAATGCCTCTAGAAAAAGATAAATACCTTACTATTTCATGAGCTAGGTGCATTTTAGTACCACCTTTTGTGTGGAATGTTGTCATTCCCTGGAAACCATGAAGTTCTGTACAAGTTAAAGCAGAATATAAAGTACAATGACACATTTGCCAGCGCAAGTCATGGTGAATGTCATTCTAGAGCGAAATCGCATGTGAATAGAAATTTTTGAAATTTTTATTGTTGCACATGATCCCTGCAAGTTATCAGCAGCGTTACTAAGTGTGTAGATGTTGTGTGTGCTGCAAGCAGTCTTCATTTGGTTGGCCTGGATAATTATCATCATCATGAAAGTCATTCATACGAGACTCACGTGTGATTTATACTGTTTCTTTAGGTTTGTGTTTCTGAGACGGATAAAATAACAGTGTTCTTTTTTTTTTTTCATTGACTCTGTGTATTGCTTACCTGTTCAACCCAACTTTAGTTACTAAACGTCAAGAAATGTTCAACATGAATATGAAACAATGATAGGGTCATTCTAAACCACTGTGGAGTAGTGGTGTTTTCTTGTGCTGTGGTGCAACCAGAAAACACCAATGGTGGGGAAAGAGATTTTCAGAGAGCTGATGGCCAGGTCAGGGGCAATGATAATCAACTTTGCCACCCACATGTCATCTTATTTCCTTTGCAGCGGGAGTGCTAAGGCTTGGAGTGGATGGCATGTGCTTCAAGAGGAGACTTATGTGCCAGGAATGTACTTATGAAGGCCAGGGGTTATTAAGAAAAGGTTCTCCTTAAAAGTAACTAACTCTCAGGAATACTTACTAAGAACTTAAAATTGGGATAGCTTGTTGGAGTTAATACTGAACCAGAATCGCAAGAAAGCCACAACACAACTACAAAAAGAACACCAGATGGGTGCTTGCCTGGTGTTGTATTTCTTGTCATGTTGTCCTTTTCTTGGAATTCCAGTTCGTATGAATGCTAAACCTGGCCAGTTGCAATGGCATTTATAGCATGTCTTTGAAGCAGCAATACATGTGCAGGCAGCATGCATCAGTTAGGTCACAAGCATACTCTGTTCAGAGGAGTATAAAAAAACATTGCCTCAAAGAGGGTTGACCAAGTATATACCTGCACTGTGGCACAACAGGCAAAAGTGACTAATTGTAGTATGGCAACAGCCTGAGGAGACAAGTATAGCAAGCACGTGAATGTGCTTCAGATAACAGTCCATTTCAAAAGGTGAGAGCCTTTGCTGGATGCTGATACGGGCTTGTTTTGTAGCATACAACTGTATGGTGGTGGAAAGAAACCATCAAGCTCTGTTGATGAGAAACGAAAATTAGCAGATTCCACACAAGAGGTGTGAAGCTCACTGAGACTCGCTAATGAAGTATATTTTGTGCTTTGAACTCACTCGAACTCACCAAAGTTTTCCTGAGCCGGACTCACACTCACCCAGACTCACTGGACTCGTACTCAACAAATATTACTTTACTCGCCCGGGCTCACTCGGACTCAGACCGAGTCTATATGAGTACACTCATGAGTCCATATGAGTACATATGAGTACACTCTAACACCCATAGCTTGCATAATTGGTGCTCTTGGGGCTTTTTGATATATAGTACCTTGGGATACGAGTTTTTGAAAACGAGTAAAAGTATTTGTCTTGAAAGGGATAAGAATACACAATATATTTACGAAGAGCTTCCCTGGAAAAGACGGCAGGGCAAAGTCAAAGTAAACCCTTACATAATCCATGCCTTTGATTAATGCACATTGAAATGGTGTGTGAACAATAGTGCTTTGGAATGCGCGTGAGTAGACGTGAATGTAAACATCAACCTACGTAAAAAAAAACATCAACCTACGTGATAGTAAGACTCAAGATGAGTAGATAGAGTCATAGGCTGGCAAAAATAAGTGCAACTGGCTTAAGAATTAGGTATATATTGCACTTTGGACTCGCTCAGCTTAGCGAGCCTCCCAAATCGTTTGTTGTTTCTAACCCTGGATAGGTGGCACCATTAGTCTGTGTGCCAATTTCGTGACCTGTTATTTGATCTCACGTTACGCTTTTTTTTTAATATTGGAGAGGCTAAAAGGCTTTATTGACTGCTGCAACCAAGCCTGGGAACAAACTTATGACATCCACACTTATGAAAACAGCTGAGCAAGAAGCAAGTAGCTCAAAGTGCACCGCGGCAGACGCAAACAACTCGGAAAGCTGAAAGCAGACAATGCAACTCACCGATATAGTTCCTTCATACATAGCCTCCTATATAAAAGTTATAGAGGAGGCTATGCTTCATAGTTAATTGGCTACGTCGCTCTCCAGCCAACGGAAAGCAGCACGAAAATGGGTTTCGGATACATTCCTAGAATGGCAAAAAACGGCAGACGTGCGCAAAGAAAACAACTCGCACATGGTGGCCTGAAAACGTTCAACGGCAAACAGAGAGGCATACTTACCACTTGCGTAAATGGGCCCTAATGGAGGTTGAGTCTGACGCTGCGTTTGCTGGAGTACCTGGACTCCAACAGCTGCCAAGCCTCGACTTCAACGACTCAACTTCATGGTCCATCTAGATTGAGCAGTTTGAATTACTATATGTCTACGCTACAGTAGTGCAGCGAGCTACCGACAATGTTCAGGTATGAACGCTGTGCTAGCGTCTCCCAACTTGATGGCCGATCGAAAAGGCTCTGTCATAAAGCATTGTCAAAAGCAAGTTAATCTCGTATTTTGTTCACTCGCGAAATGAAGTTCATGAAAGTTACATTTTTACAAACGGGCACAGCAAGCAGATGAAAGCGTTGATGCTTTTTATTCTGCATTGCGAAACATGGTCAAAAGATGAAACTACGGCTCAGGGTCTATTGGGAATAGGCTTGTTTGAGACTGAATTATTTTTTACTTCTTGGACAGCAGGCTATCGGAGCAACTCTGCTGTACTTGACGCTGGACAAAGCGCTCCTGCATGCACGGTTGCACGAAGACGCAAAAAAATAAAAAATGAAACATGAAAACCAGTCATGTGGGCCAGTTGCCGTGAATGCAGCGAAGCAGATGCCAGGAAAAAGACAGTCAAATAAGCGAGAATCGGCATCGAGAGAGATCTCCTTCGCCAACTCGATGCAAGGATCTTGTCGATTCTGCAGACGAGAAGCTCATAAACAGGGATTTTGTCCTGCAAAAAAAGCAGTTTGTTTCGGCAAGCAACATTCGTTCAACTGATAGCTACTTACACCATTGAGATGCATGCTGTCGAGCCTTTCTCGAGATATTGAACACAGAAATTTTGCCTGTCTGTCTATCACACGATTCAGCCGCCTAGCCAAAGTTTAAGCACTTTCGCAATGCCCTGCCATCTTGAACTGGTGGCTGCATTCACATATGCTTTTGAACATTGTCGATCAAGAAGTAAATATTAAGCATGTCTCAAACACAATAATAATACGTAAGTATTAGTTAATATGTTATTTAGATGTGAAGCAGCTGTTTGAGTAGCCTGTGTAATGCTGTCTCTCCATCCGCACCGTGCTCCCCTGGCCGCAAGTGTTGGGGCGTTGCCAAGTAGGTCACGCCTTCTCTTGCAGTGCGCACACATTGACGTCACTCTCTCTCTAGCCTATTGCCGCTCTCCGTGAGTCATCTCTCCCATTTCACCCTCTTCACCGCTTGCAACGCTCAAGCCCACTCCTCACGTAGACACTCGGGAATGCAATCTTACTATTATAGTCACGTTGAGCATTGCTCTCCATTGTTTGCGTGCTAACACTAATGCATCTCGTTTAGTGAAAGCATCTTGTAAAGTTGCAACATCCAGATGTGATACGTCTGCCTCTGCTTTTCGCTTCCTTGATGTTTGACGCAGGGACGAAGCTCGTAAGTCAGGATCGTTGCAAGGCATCCATGCAATTAGAACAAAGTTGGGAGGATAGTCTTCGAAGAAAGTAGGTGCGTAGTCGGGATGAAGTTTTCTGATGCAGGTACTGTAGTCTTCATCGCAGAAGTGTCTGCTGCATACGACATTCGATGCAGATTTGTCTTTGATGATGAGGTTGTCTAATATTCTTTTTTCATTTAGCACACAGTTCAGTATTGTTTGGGAATCGACGAAAAGAAACATTGTATTCTCCAAATGGGACCTGATATAAGAAAACACAGCGATACACTATCACACAGCTAATCTATATTCATATACGTATTGCGCGTACTGAAGGTTGTATGACCGCCTTCTCGAGTCGAGAAATCTCTTCAGACTCAACGCTGAGAAAAGGCCGAACCAAATGCAGACGCGGTGAATAAATCCTAAAATAAAGCTAGCCACACTAGAGAGAAAGAGCAATTGACAACAACCTGCTTGTAGCACTAAGCCACAAGATAAATCATACAGATTTCTTTTTAAAAAAAGCTGCTTGCTTATTTGCCAAAGCGAATCAACGAAACGGACTCAAAGAGCACGACACGCTACGTATAATGCAAGCTCTATTCACCAGCCACATTACATACGGCATGCCGTACCTGAATTTGAAAACGGCTGAAACAGAAAAATTTAATATCGTGTAAAGAAAGGCCACTAAAATAGCCCTGGGACTTCCGCCAATGGCCTCTACTACACGTCTCCTAAAGATGGGCGTCCACAACACATTTTAAGAGCTCGCTGAAACGCTTAAGAACAGCCAGCTGGAGAGGCTCAAGCTGACGCCCACCGGGAGGTCAGTGCTCCGCTACCTCAACTACAGCGACACGTTCATCGCCGATGCAGACAGGAAAAAGCACATCCCGCTATACGTTAGAAAGTCACTGTCCATCGCACCTATTCCACGCAGCATGCATCCTACTTTCCACAAAGGTAGACTCAAGGCTAGAGGTGACGCTATTTAACGAAAGTTCAAGTAAGACATGGACGCCCGCTACACTGATGCGTCCAAGTATCCGCATAGAAACGCGTACGCTGTAAGCGTCATAGATTCTCAAGGCCAAGAATCAGCGTTGGCCACGGTCAACACACTCAATTCAGACGCAGCAGATGAATCGGCAATCGCTCTAGCAACCACCACATGTACAGACGCCGCGGTGATTTTCACCGACTCGCAAGCTGTCTACAGGGATTTTGCTAAAGGCCGTGTCTCAGCCAACACCATCAATATTTTGAAACGGCGAAGCACTCCGCTCCCATACACTTGTAAATTATGGGTGCCAGGACACGAGGGTCTGCAGGGAAATAAAGTGATAAAGTGGCTCACGCCGCTGCCCGCGAGCACGTCAGCCGGGCTGCCCTCTGGCCACAGGACATCCAACATGTCGTTGACGAGACGGAAGTTGTTCAAAACACCTACCTGTCGTTACTCCAGCATTACAGGCTGGAGCAACAAGTATACGCTCCACTTCACCCAAAACTGACAAAAGAGGAAAGCGTGATACTGAGACGCCTG